ATCATCATCATAGTCATCATTGTCATCATCGTCAACATTGTCATCACAATCGTCACATCATCAACAACTTTATTTATATAGCACTTTAAAACAGCTACAGATGAAAACAAAGAGCTGAACATAGCTAAAAAGAATAAAACACAATAAAATAATAAAATACAGCATAAAAACATAAAATTAGGCAATAATGTAAATTTTGTCAAATTAAATAATCAAGGTCACAACAACTAAGTTCTGCCAGGGTTTAAAGCCAGCGAATAAAATGTCTTCAGCCGTGTTTTAAAATTTGGCAGTGAATGAGCCTCCCTACTGTGCAGCGGGAGGCTATTCCATAAAAGCGGAACAGCAATAAAGAACGCTCTGGCCCCTCTGAGCTACTTCTCAAACCTTGGTACCTGCAGGAGATGCTGATCTGCTCACCTGAGGGCCTGAGCATGCAAGTAGGGGTAAAGAAGATATGAGCGCTAAGATGTGATAAGGTCATTCAAGCACTTAAAAACGAAGATAAGAATTTTTAAATCAACTCTAAAATGCAGAGGTAGCCAGAGGAGGGAGGCCAGGACAGGAGTGATGTTATCATATTTCAGAGTACCAGATGAGCAGCTGTGTTTTGCACCGGCTGTAGGTGAGACAGCAAAGACTGGCACACACCAACATAGAGGATATCATAGTAATCCAATCGATATGAAATAAAAGCATGGATAACTTTTTCAAAGGGCTACTGTGAAAGAAAGGGTTCTTGTTTTGCCAATTGTCTTAACTGAAAAAAGCAAGGTCTGACAACTGCTCCAATTTGATTTCCCAATTTAAAATAACTGTCCCAAATTTGTGACGGTCAATTCAAAATATGGTGTAAGGGATCCTAGGTGTATAGTAGTGGAGTCACATGGGCCATAATTTCAAAACACTATAACCTCAGTTTTTGGAGGTACAGGGTGAGCAGTTCGATCGCATCACATCAGGCTGTAGAGTGTTAGAGCATGCATAGGGAGCTGTGAAATTTTAAACCCTGCAAATCCATCATACAGGGGGTACACAGATATATGCCTTACTTAAAGGGATACTGTGTGATAAGGTCCTTCAAAGGTGAATTTCACAAGTTTAAGTAAATATTTTATTTATTTTTGCCCTTAAATTAGCCTGATGTGTATAATGTGCTTTCCTGTATTAACCACATTCCCCATATAGCCCCCATTTGTCAGTTTGTGAGACACAGATTCAAGTCTGATTCTCTGGGCATGCACATGGGTGTGGCACGGTGCATTCTGTCTTTCTATTTGTAATAATTAAACTCCCACTTTAATTGAAAGTTCTAATAACAGAAAAGTCATACAAGTTCATCAATATATTACATTTTGAAAAGTAACTGCTTAGTTACTTTGCCTAGTAACTAGTTACTTTTATTTAGCAGTAACAAAGTCAGCTACTTTTTTGAGAAAAGGAACTAGTAACTTTTTTTTAAAGTAATGTTCCTAACATTGTTGGTCACAAGCATTTCAGTTGATCTTTTCTCTTAAAATTTTTTCAGCTTAAGTTCTGTAGCATAAATCTGAGGTTAAATAATTTTTTTTTTTTGAAATTGCAAAAACAAAACAGATCATTACTCATTTAAAAGCTGCATACGCTCCATCTTCCTGTTCAGCAGTACATCTTTAAACTAAAAAAAAAAGAGTGTAAATTTTTTTAGTAAACTGCCTGTTGTTTATTTACTTTGCTAACTGAGCCTTTCAACTTAACTGTTATTAAGCTATTAAAACCTTTTTGAAAGCTATAGAAAAGTAATTAATATTCAACTGTTGTACTACCCAGAACATCAGAAAAACACACTAATAAAAACCTTGATAAAATTCAGCAGTCGAGTCTTTTATTCAAGTCAGCCTGTATTTTGAGACTGAACTTCAAAATACAAATGTGAAAAACAGAGCACAAATAATCTAGATAGTCACTTTGATTAATTGCAATCATCAGCATAAACTTTAGCTTACAAGTGCAACAGTGCTGCATCATAGGGTGAAAGATTATGATATATTACAATATTCTGTCTTGCATCATAGAGTATCATTGCAGAAACTTATGGTTTAAAATGGCTATTTAAAGTGTTTAAAAAAGTAAATAAGGAAAAACATTAAAAAGCCTTGTAACTTGTGAAAAGTTTTGTTCATACAAAACAAAAAAAGAATAAAAATCCCAAAACTAATAAAACAATTGGAATTGTCATACCACAACATAGAACCCATACATTTAAAACCTCTGCTCTACAATGTTATTTTCTTGGGAAACCCTAGTTCCCATGTTTGTCTTCTGGGGGTGCAGAATCTGACTTTCGAGTAATCCGTGAAAAGTGCGATGCAAGAGATCTTGAAGACACAAAAGACAGATGGTCATCATTCAGGGCGCTCTCTAGAACATGGCATATGGACTGTTTGAGCTTCTTCTGGAAGTCATGACATATGAAAACATAAAGGATGGGGTTCAGACAACTGTTTATGAAGGCGAGACATACAATTAGAGGACCTCCAATCTGAACAAGATACTCATTATTGGAGCTTTTGTCTACAAAAATGAAAATATGAAAGGGCAGCCAGCAGATGAAAAATGCCAAAACAACAGAGAAAACAATGCGATGAAATCTCTGGATTTTTTGCCGTTGCAAACGCCTTGAACGGATGGTGATGGCCACAGAGGAGAAAAGTATTGCCAGAAATGGAATAAGAAAGCCCATTATGAAACGGAAAATTTCCAGACTCCATTTATTTTTTGTTTCTGTATCATAAAAGCAGTCTGTAACGTTATTTTTCTCTATTATAGTACGGAAGCAGACATAAGGTGTACTGCAGATCCCTGCAGCCAACCAGATAACAGCACTTATGATTTGGGCTTTAAAGACAGTGCGGTTGTTTTGTGCCCACACCACCACCCAGATGGACAAACAACGATCCACACTTATTGCTGTCAAAAAGAAGACACTGGCAAACATGGTGACTACGCTCACAAAGCTGTTGAGCTTGCACATGAATTGGCCAAAGGGCCAGTGGTGATCTTGATAGAGAGAGACAGCTGAAAAAATCAGGAAGGCCGTAAAAAGGAAATCAGCCAAAGCCAAATTGAGAAACCACACGGAGTTGACAGTTTTCTTCATCTTAAAGCCTGTCACAAAGATGACTAGGCCGTTGCCTACAGTCCCAACCACAGCAATCAGGCAGTAGATAACCACACAAAATGTTTGCACATGTTTGACAGCCACGGTCAGTGCAGAGGAATTCTGTTCTGTGTCGTTACCTAAGGACAGAAAAATTGAAACACTTTAAAATAGTTTTTAAAGAATACACTAAAAGAGGAAATTGGTAAAGAACAGGATAACATTTATACAGTAATGTATGTACAATAAAAGATTAAACAGAAAAATCTGTCTGAAATTTCACACTATAAAGTACCCAAGATTAATAGTTTAAGTAATAGTCAATGCATAACCTTTGAAAGTTTTTGAAAGTTTCATACAAGTATCTATTTTATACCAGTTAATTGTATCTTTACAGCATCTTACCAGTCATTGTTTTTGCAAGAGTCCTCTCTCTGAGTTTATCTCTAACTTGTCTGAGCTTTAAATCTTCCTGCTGTCATTTTTACCCTCCCTCACAGCCCATCTTACTGCTAATAGGGCAGTGTTACCCAATAAAAGGAGTGCACTAAATGAAACTAAAGAATTAGAATAAGAAGGAGGACATTAAAATGTTTTACTGGTTCTTAAAAGTGTTCTTTTTTTCAGAAATGAAGAGAGTAAGACAGACAGACAGACAGACAGACAGACAGACAGACAGACATACAGACAGACAAAGAAGGAAAGCAAGCAAGAAAGAAACTTTATAACCTTTTACAATCAAAGAACCACAATAACAGCAACCAAGCATTATCATTAAATAAGGGAGCAGTACCAGAAGATAATAATCCAAATATTAGAACATGATAATTTTTGTAAAACTATTTATTTCGCATTGTGCTGTGACTACTCCTGTGGGAAACATTTAAACACATTTGTTGCATAGTGCAGCATAATGTTTTTGTTGTTGTATTATTCTATTGCATGTAAAGTAATGTAATGTCTGATGCAAGGACTAAAAGCAAAAAAAACAAAAAACTACAACTTTTTTCCAGTGAAGCTGCATGTGGTTAACTCTATCTCACAGTCACCTCAGTGAGTCAAATCAGGCACTGAACTGAAAGCAGTGAGTGCAGAGATGACTCAAAATTGTGCACTGATCTGCTGTTCATATAGTTTGTAGGCAATCATACAGCCATAGAACTGATCTGATGGTGACGAAATTACCTAGGGTAGACAGGTGGCAGAATTTCTTGACTGCTAAAGCAAAACAATTCCCTAGAAAAGATTCCTCATAGAACAAGTTTCGTTGAAAGAATAGATTGGAGCTTCAATAAATATTCACACAAAGGTGCAAGAGTGAATTTCAATATTTATCTGAACAATGGCATGAATATTACCTTATAACACTGAAAAGCTTAAAAAGAATCAGACATTCTCAATATCAAGCCAATGACAAAATTACAGATATTTATATGCATGTGGCAGTAAATGTCTTGAATCATGACCTTTTTGGATTGCATCTCAAACATTCCCTGGTGAACTTCTTGTGCAGTTACTGAGTCTTAAAACAACGTTTTCCACTGCTTACTTAAAACATTCTCAATGTAATCTTTCTGAACATACCATCAGTAAACATATTGCTAATCATTATTCTACTGGTAAGTAGAATAATGTATGTTCTTTTTGCAATTTCCTCAACTTAAATCTCATCTGATAAGTTCACATCTGATTGTCAGATCTAATGCAGAGGCAAGCAGAAGACAGTCAGGACACAGTGATGGACAGTCAGGCACAGGTGTATGTCCAAAAAAAAAACAGGCTTCTTTCATTTAACCAAAAAAAGATCAAATCTAACATCCATCCATCCATTTTCCATCACGCTTATTCCAAGCGGGGTCGCGAGGGGAGCTGGTGCCTATCTCCAGCTCTCCATGGCGAGAATCAAATCTAACAGTACAAAAAAATTGTCACATAACGCAGAAATTCAGGAAAAAAACTAAAATAAATAAAAATACATGCAATTTAAATAATATTTTCCTAACTGTTTTATTTAACCCGTCATAATAAATAAATGCTCAATCAAATTTGTCCTCATAATATCAAATTTATCTTTAAGCTATTGTCACTCTGCCCGTTGCTAATGGTCCTACTCGTCTTCCCATTATACTTTCAACCATTTCCCAGTTTAAATCTCTCACTTTAAGCTACTTTCTGCAGCTTTCACTATATTTTAATTTTTTCGGTTTTCTTTGTCGTCTGAGCACTACAGTTGATCACCTCTAACATGAAAAATACAAGTACTTCTTGAGACAACGGGGGACTTAAATAGTGGCTGATCAGTCCACAAAAGAAACAAATGGGGCAAGACATGCAAAACCCTAACTAAACAAAATAAAGTAAAAACCCCATTTGCCCCCATAGCACTGATGTGGTATGGTCCAAATAAAATCAGCCCATTGGCCTACTGCTGGTTCCTCAGCCAAGGGACTGGAGAGACTGCAAAACTAAAACTAAATATGAAATTGGCACAATCACAACAAAAACAGTGTAAACCAAAATCTACACACTAATTTGGGAATACAGTGTAATGGTAATGAATACATTCCAAAATAATGAGATATAAAAAGCTGTAAATATAGCCATCACAGTAAGCAACAAAGGGAAATTGATTTAAAAAAAAGTGGTTTCACAAGACAAGTCTTTTTGCAAACCATACATGACACATTTCCTACCTATGCATTTACAGCTATGTATACAGCTGATATAATCTGATTAACCTCCGATAAACTATGCAATTATTAAAGGTTCACTTTGCAAAAAGCAAAGAAAAGAAAGAGTATACATCGATCATGATAGCATGATAATATAAATAATAATATGATAGCATGAATAAACTAATGAATGATCAGGCATTAAATTGAAATCATTTGATGCCAAAACAGAATGAGATATAAGCCCCATTTACACTACCCCGGGGGTCGGCAACAAAGGAAGATAGCTAATGAGAAAAGAGGATTCAAAGAATGGAGCGAATCATTTGCTTTCATTATCAATGCGGAAAGATTGCCTGCATTTTTTGATTTGTAATGAGAGGTGACAAAAAAGAAAAAGAAAAATTTGGAAAGGCATTTCCAGGGAAGGCAGCCGACCACGTTGGTAGTTGGTAGTGAGAGAAAAAGTGTGATTGCAGAACTTCTGGATAGATTAGAATACCCGCACATGTATTTATTAGCTTTTTTTTTTTTTTTTTCGTGTCAGTTATTCATGATTGTTTTATGAGGGTTAGTTATGTTCCTGGTTCATGTCCTAACTCTGGAAGGCCAGTGGATTGAGAGGGTTTGCTGTTTTTCACCTGTCTTCTGACCGTGTCCTGGCTCTTCTCCGCTGAGCCCTCAGGGTTTTGGCTCGGGATGCAGGGAAGGTCAGTTTTCTTTCCCATAAGCTTGACTCCAAGGTGATTTGCCTTAAATACAGTGTCCATATTTCCCGTTTATGACACCAATTCCAGAGAGTTGTTGATTGACCAATGCAAGTCTAAAACATTAATGAGCCCAGATAGCCTTGATAAAAAGAGAAACTTGCTTGCTTGGTAACCATGCAGTTCACTGGAGCTGTGTCCAAACGTCCACCCTAATGCCATTTTAGATTAGTGTCCGAATGTCCAGTGGATGGAAAAGTAGTGGACTTTAAATGTCCCACAATGCACCGACTAGTGCATACAGTCATGGCCAAAAGTATTGAGAATGACACAAATATTATATATTCACATGATCTGCTGCCGTCTGGTTTTCATGTGTGCATGTCAGATGTTGTCGTAACATGCAGAAATACAATTGCAATCATAGTATGAGTAACAAAAGCTTTTAATGACAGTTAGAATGAATTAATGCAGCAAGTCAATATTTGCAGTGTTGACCCGTCTTTTTCAGGACCTCTGCAATTCTCCCTGGCATGCACTCAATCAACTTCTGGACCAAATCCTGACTGATAGCAGTCCATTCTTGCACAATCAATGCTTGCATTTTGTCAGAATTCCTAGGTTTTCATTTGTCCACTCGCCTCTTGATGATTGACCACAAGTTTTCAATGGGATTAAGATCAGGGCAGTTGCCAGGCCATGGACCCAAAATCTCTATGTTTTGTTCCCTGAGAAAGTTAGATACATTATCACCTTTGCTTTATGGCAAGGTGCTCCATCATGCTGGAAAAGGCATTGTTCATCACCAAACTGCTCTTGGACAGTTGGGAGAAGTTGCTCTCGGAGGACATTCTGGTACCATTCTTTAGTCATGGCTGTGTTTTTAGGTAAGACTGTGAGAGAGCCGACTCCCTTGGCTGAGAAGCAACCCCACACATGAATGGCTTCAGGATGCTTTACACTTGGCATGAGACAAGACTGGTGGTAGCGCATACTGTACCTCGTCTTCTCCGAACAAGCTGTTTTCCTGATGTCCCAAACAATCAGAAAGGGGATTCATCAGAGAAAAGGACTTTACCCCAGTCCTCAGCAGTCCACTCCCTGTACCTTTGCTCTGGAATTTGATTAATCGATCTAAGCAATTTTATGTTGGGGTTAGATTTTCAATCATCTAGAACATGAAATTAAAAAGAGGTTAAAAAACAACTGGACTTCAGTTCTGTGGACTGGATAGTATGTTTATGCTTTAGCACCTCTTTGTGATAGTCTTAGAGTTATTGGTGCACAAACTCACATATACTTTAGATTTAACGAGTGACTTTCTGAATCACCACATAGAGCTGATGGTAAGAGATATATGTTTTGACTTTGGTGAAGGGTGCAACAAGCACCAACGTCAGCAGTCTGGTTTGCTGACGGGAAGTAGTAAAGTTCTCTAGTTGTATCAAAAAGACTAAACGAGGGTAATTGTTTAAGTACTTTAATAGAAGGTATCATGGCATCATGGTTGCTTTTTATTTACTTATATGTCATTGTGGTTCTTTATTTACTTATATAACTTGGTCTTAACAGTTATAAGCCTCTTAGGTGTCACTGCTAAGAAGCTTTACATAGATTAATCTCCTATAACATCATATAAATGTACCTCTTATAGCAGTAGCATAACATAACTTTTAAGAACCTAGAAAAAAATCAGTGTTTAATTTGCCTAAATTTGTCTAAACATCAGAAAAACACCCCAACCTGCCCATCTGCAGCATCTCCAGCTCGCTCCAATCAGAAAGGAGTCTGCAGAGTCTCCAATAAGGACCAACAGAAGGAGAGAGACTAGATAAGGGGCAGATATGCTTCCCCAGTTCAACATTTTTGTTTTCTGTTATTTCACTACTGTTCATACTGTCTGATTGTTTGTCACTATGCTGCTTCTACAGCACTTCCTTACTTCAGTTTTACTGCAAAATTCCCAAAATGTATACAGACTGCCTGTCTGTATACATTCTTGTATATACTTTTTGACTTGCAGCTAAGTAGATTATTAACACAATATCTTAGATTTTTCTTGCCCCTTCCAAAAGTCAGAGAGATTGGTAATCTCAAACCCTCTTTT